AGAGTCTTGTTAGAACAAGGGTGTGAAAATGGCTGTAGTAACACGTGCAGGCCTTGATGCATCTAGAATAGTAACACAGTCTGGCCAATCATTTGAGCCCGAAGCTAGCAGACTCTACTCATGAATGTGAATCCTACCTCGGCATACGGCATATCTTCCTTTGTCAAACCATGCTATCGTGTTACCAATGGGGAGGAAGCAGCGCCACAGGCAGCTACAGTGGAGTCTAGGGTGACGAGCAGTTCCAACTATGAGCATTTCATGTGATGAGCAAGCCATTCGCAGAAAATTTGTTTCGGCTGACGAGCTTCCGCTCAGTTACCGAGCTGTCAGTGCGTATATGGGCCTGCATCCGCTGATGGGTCTTGCGCTCAGGGCCTGGGGCCTCGGTCGTCTGCAGCCAATCCGTGGACTTATGTAGTTTGACTGGGTACGTTTCGCAAGACGAGCGTTTTAGATGACGAGTCCGGCGCTGGAACGGATAACACTCATTAACCAAGGCTCCATTTTCCATTCAATCTATTTAAAGTATGTCAGGAAGAGTTGTTGTTGCAGCGCTTTAAGCGCGCACAGGCTTTCCGTTTCTGACTCCCACGACGCGCTTAATGTCATGTGATCACGATTCTCGAGCTGTTGAACAAGGAACTCATCTAATCTCGGACAACCAATGGCAAACGCCTGCAAAATGCATTCACCGAATCAAACGATCAAGCGGGCACTGACTGAGCATTGTAATACATCAAGAGACTATGGTTTGTTTAAGTGCATTGAAGACGGTGCTTTGCGCGAGCTCAGGATGGGCGCGGTGTGACTAAGTACCAATGAAGATGCCGATGCCCATTTCCCCTCACAACCGCTAATCCTCATCCTGCAACTATCGTCGTCGCAGGTCGTACCCTTTATTCTCGCTCTATCTCAACATGCCAAAGTGCCCCTTGCAGTTGCCCACAGCGCTGCGCTCCCCATTGGTAATCCAACAGACACGAGTAAGCATTCACCTCTCCAAGTGGGACACTTATATTTGTAACGCCTTGTTCCTGTCACACATTATTTACTCATCATGTACCTATGTCGCAGTGGGTTAAGTTAATTGGGTAAAACCCTCGCCGGTGCAATCCCAAGGCCCTGGCTCCGAATTGAAAGGGAAGAAATGAGAGGCTAAGTGGAAGGAATAGTTTTTCCGTACAACGGTGGAAGAGCATAGTTGGAGTAAGTTGACTGTCGGAAGAACGTGCGTCTGCATCGGAGCGGGCAGTATGCGAGTGTGGGAGGTATCACAGCGAGGCCGTGTGTGAATGAGCAACAGGAAGATGATTAGCCAGGCTGGCGTATGCGCACTTGCTAACAACTGCAAGAGGTTGAGTGTTTGCGCAAGTAGCGGCCCTTAAGATGGTCTGTCCTAGAGGTGGGTCAAGACTTGCCATCACGTGACCTCATGCGCGGCGTAGCGGCGAAGGTTGAAGGCGCTATTGGGTCACTACACCTATGTGTTTATTATTATTTGATTGGTTCCCATACATTCTCTCCATCTTTTATCGTGATATTCGCATTCTTATGCTTAGTATGGCATTTGTCGGCCTGAGAGATCGCAGTGACTGAACAGCCTTCAGGCCCCTTATCTGCTCGTGTGCGTGACAACATCAACGTCCTCGGTCGCAACACTGTCACATGACGTTAACTCGCTCACACCAAAATTACCCTGGCGGAAAGACTCGTGCGCAAGTTCCATGCTTGCCCTGCGTCGGGGTTCCGACTACCAACGAGTTGATGTTCTGAATACAAGTCTTGTATTAATTTATTTTCCTTCCTCCTTCAAAACGGAACTGAACCTGATGATTGCAGTGTGCTGCGCACAGTCAGTGTTTAGACTCTGCGGAAATAAAATGTTCGAGCGTGGAGCGGTAGCAATTAATAACACTGTCTCAAGTGTATATTCCAGCATTTTCTTCAGGAGGGACACTGCTGCCGTTTGCTCCTAGCTATCGCAAAATGCCCGATTTTCAATTAATCCAACTATCACGTCCAAAAATGATACTAAAAAGATTCCCCGACGTGGTTCTGATCACTAGCGTATGCATCCTATAACTAAGTTAGTAGCACCATTTGCGGCAAATTCCAAAAAAAGAAGAGAAGGGAGCAAGGTGGGTCCCAAAGGTGTAAGCCAATATGCGTGAAGATTTGAAGCCCAGATATCTAATTGTTTTCACCAACCCCCAAAGATTACGAAGAAGAAGGTACGAGGACATGGACCGAATTTTCGTGATACTGACGTTTCGGATACTCGCTCGGTTCCATCGTCGGAGTAACTAGGTGATTGATCCTGTTTGCCGGGACTGTTTCAACCTTGCCACATG